TTTATATGCCCTGGCATAGCAAATTCCTGTTTCGATTAAAGTGACATATGCTCCTGATGTTTCTGAAATATTTATGTTTTATACAATTGGTGAATTCAATGTATTATGTTTCGATTTATTATAGAATTGATAGTGTCTTCTTCATTACAAGAGATATTTATATATGTATGTGATGGCGATCAATACATGAATATAAATAGTAATCATAAATTGTTCATAGTCGGTAATTATGGATGGACTCATAATTAATTAAGACTTGAACTAGATCCGCGTTAGATTGAGATATATTGCGAGAGCTGTCGTATGCAATTACTCCCTATCACCGTCATGGCATTTGACTCTTAAGCATGAGAGAAGTATAGACTCTTTTATTAATTAGTAATTATTTTGATTTGTTCAGCAGAATCTTCGGAATCCTTAGATCGGCACTTTGGATAATTATGTAATTAATAGTTAGAGGGTTATATTTTCAATATTTGCATCATTGCTACTTGTATTTATTTTGTATTGATTATTGTTGATCACAAAGTAAATTCAAAGGCTTTCGTGTGTTTTTAGACAAAATGATTTATTATATGTTTATTTATTTAAATTATTATTTTTGTCAAACAAATGTTTTATTGTGATCGAGCCAGAAATAATCAATGATACCAAAATAAATATATTAATTAAGTAGTCGGATTGATGGCTTTATTTATTCGATAACTAATTATGCATAGAGGGGTCAAAGTGCAACATTGACTTAGAGGTTATTTATTATTTAATTGGAGTTCAATTAATTTTTTTTAGTGGAGTAAAAATTAATTTATGAGTTAATTAAATTGGGTCCATAGACTGGGCCAATTATTAATTCATTATAGCCAATAAAATAATAAGCCCAAAGGATTCTCACTCATAGCCCAACTTAATATTGGAATCCTATTAGATTTGAGACACGTGAATTAGAGATTAAGAAGGATTTATTGTTTCATTTTCCTTATCTTTATGTTGCCTATATATATAAATGGTCTATGTATATTTACGAAGAGATTTTTTGGAATTAGGAAAAAGGAATATATTTTTCTTTCTCTAGATTTTAGGGTTTGCTTTCTCATCTAATGGAGGCTCCCACAAGCCTAGTTTTCCAAGGTCATTCATGGAGGCTTATGAGTGATTCCTAAAGGCAAAACAATTACCAAGAAGATGGAGATCCATAAAGAAGGCATCTAGCAAAGGGATCTACAATAAGTTAGAACATTCACTTTAGAGGAGAGATCTAAGGTTTATTCAAACCTTTGATGTAAGTTTTCAATCTATAATTAATTGAATGATAGATTATATTTTATTTTTGCATAAAACTTGTCGTTATGTGATGAATCAAGATTTGTGAATGAAAATCCCTCGAAAAGTTTTTAAACTAGCATGTTTCCCAACACAAGTAATCAGGAAAAATGGATAGTTTGATTATTAGAAGAAAGAGAAACAAATTGTTGGAAGAAGTTCGGGATAGTGTGTTTGAACCTAGATCGATCTCGAAGATTGGTGCGGCTGCTGCTGCTGCTGCCATCTCCTCCTCCTCAACCTCCTCTATTGCTATCACTGCGTCCTCTAGAAAACTCTTAATAAGAGCATTGTAGCTCTTATTCCGGTCCTTCTTGCCAAAATGGCAAGCTCCTGTCTCTGAGCGCTCATCAGGACGGAATGGATAACGCTGATCCTGGAGGATCTGAGTGATCAAATGGCCAAATGGAAGATACTTAGCCTGCTTGGGCTTGGCCTTGCTGATGTAGTTGGCATAGAGCTTTATCATCACAGTCCAATAGAGGGTTGGAATAGAAACCCAGCACCCTGTGTAGAGAGCATATAAGGCTGTCAAATAATCGCCACGCCTCTGGATCTTGTGGCCAGCCATGAACACATTTCGGTACCTGACCGAATCAAAGAATCACAGGTCATCGGGCAGATAGGTGCGAGTAGCAAATATGTCGCCCTCACTGTAATGCCCTTTAAGTGCCTTGGCCATAAATGTATAAGAAGGCCTCCTCTCTAAAATAGGATAATCGAGTTCAAGCTCAGGAGGGCAGGCATGCGGGCATCGGCAGGATCGGGCGCAAATTAGAAGGACTCAAATCAAAATGATGAGAAACAAATCATAACAAGGCAATAGAATGGGCATTGCCAGGATTGCAGACCAAAGTTGTTGAAACACAGGTTCCATCTAGAGAGTTTTGATTGGTGAGAATGATGATTTTTGAAATTATACTCTTTCTTTTCTTTTCTTTTCTTTTTTCTTCCCAGTTTCCTTGATTTGAGTTTTTGACTCTTTTGGAGACTAGCAAATAAGACCTCTGGTGGTGGTGAAAACAAGAAGCAAAATGTAAGAATTTTATTATTATTTCTCTTGCAAGAGGTGATTGTATATATTTATGTATATATCTATCTGGTTTATTGTTGTATATATCTATATATCATACCATTTTACTACAAGATCCTTCAATTAAGTCAGCCAACTAGCACACTTTTTTTAATGTAAAACAAGTTTCCCATTATCATGATCCGGCTCATGACATCCATTTCATTTTCATAATCACAAATTTTCTAAAATGTGACATATACTAGCTTATTATGCCTAATGGTTGAATTTTGATATCTTAGGAATCATAAATTAATTTTTTTTATAGTATTAACAAAACAAAGATATCGATCCACTTTGCAATACAAAATGTTGGAGAAGACCAAGTTTTGAGATACTACCACTATCGACAAAGGATCTCTAATTAGTGTTGAAACAATTTAAAATTTTGAATTCATCGCAAAGAAAAGGTTAAAGGAGACCAAGTTTTGTGATTTCATTCTTGTGTTGTGTGTGTATCTTTCTTTCCAAATCTTTGGAAGATGACTCCAATTAGGGAAAGAGTTACTCATCTTGAAGTTTTTCCAAGGGTTTAATGAGGTATTGCATAGCTCTGGTTGACCTTGGAAATTTTTATACATATTTTTTTATTATTTATATTTTCTCTTGAAATATGTTTTTGGGATTAGAGTTTTTTTTTTTTTTTTTTTTTTTTCCTTTCCTTTCTTGGTCTGTGTTCTCAAATACTTCAAGTAACTTTGCATATTTTTGTTCACAAATTGAATTGAATTTAATTAGTCAAATATATGGCTTGTATGGATAGTTTCAAAAAATAGGATATTACAAATTATACTTTAAATTTGAGTTTATTAGAGATTTTTAAAAGTGATTTTGATCTTGCATCTTAGCAATAAATAAATATATATATATGATTTATAGAAATTTTTTTGGTTTATACATGTACAATTTTGATTTATAAACTAAATTTTCTATTAAAACTTTTATCAAAATTTTTTAATCACGTGTGTAACGTAACTGATGGAATACCTAATAAAAAAATTGAATAAAACTAATGACCATACATGTCTTTGTATTTAAAACATAGAATATTATTAGTTGATTGCAATTAATCCGTAACGGGTGGAAATGATAACTAATGAAAATACAAGTTTTGTATCTAAATCATAGAATATTAATAACCAAAATTTGATTGCAATTAATTCGTAACGGATGGAATGTTAACTAATGAACATATAATTTTCATATTTAAATAATAAATTACTAAAAATCAAAAATTGATTGCCATTAATATGATACACTTAATAATAATTGTATTAGAAAATTTTAGTGCCAAAAATACAAATAGGCAAAGTTGGAAAGAATGCTTTAATTGGAGTAATACAGTAAGAACATTTAATGTAAATTATTTAATAGAAATAATTTTGTAATTTTAGAAATATAAAAATGTTAATAAATAGAGACTTTTACCATAATTCATATATTGAAAGAGTGTTTTATTTGAAGTAATACAAATATTGTACCAAAAATAAGAATAGACAAAGTTGGGCCTTTTGCCACAATTCTTTGAAAGACAACCCATTCAATCTTGGACAAAATTGCAGAAGAGTTTACAAACACAATTTTTTTTTATTTATTATTTTTTTTGAAATATTTTCAAACTTTACTTATAAATAAAGGGTTTCATTAAACACCAACTCATCATTTTTAAAATTTTCCGTTAATGTATTCTCTATTTTTTTTAAAATTACAAACTTTACGTGTAAATAAAGAGTTTCATTAATGTATTCTCTATTTTACAGTCATTATTGTTGACCTAATTTTTATAATAATTGTGTTTATATATGTTTTAATTATTTTTATTATAATTGCTTAATATTTATTTTTATGATTTTGTATTACATGCATGAACATTATTATTATTAATGTTTTTAGATTATATATAATAGTTTTATATATTATTATTTATATTCGTTAATAATTAATTGACCACGCCCATTTCACTTGACTTTTGCTATTAGAAGTGAAATTATAACTATTTCATCGACTCCTACAGTCATATATCATCACTAGATATTAAAGTTTTTATCCAGAGTCACACCTGCTTCAAGTAGACCTCACTAGCTAGTAGCTACTAGCTAATAAGAGAATGCCATGGACTGTTTTTCATCCCCTATTGTATTCATTGTAATCCAACATAGCAAAGAAACACAGCCACCCTGAAATATAAGGATGCAATTTTATTCAGTTAACTTCAAACACAGATTAAATCCCTCACAAGTGGTTTCCTCAAAAGTGAAGAGGAAAGGGAGATATTATTAAATGGCACAGGTGTGTTCCTGCTCAATCACAAGCTACCACAGATTCAAAGAACGGAATAAAGTTGACACACTGAGTTGTACGACAACTTGTGATTGGCAAGCTCCCGAACCATCTAATGATTTTTGGTGGAAATGAGGAAAAGAGCACCTGCGCAAGGGTATGTAGAAAATTCGTGCAAAATCCATTCCTTTCTTCCTACTTGAGGAAACATCACGAAGGAAAGGCATTTTTTAGGACTATAGTATGCTTGCTTAACTAGTAAAGAAGTGGTACAAACAAGAGGATGTATATTATCATAGTTTTGACAGTATTTATGGTGTCAAGAGTATGGCAAAAACAACAAACTTCTTGTATTCCGGAAATTCGAATGAGTCATTCCAATCAAGCACTTAGAGAAAACATAAATTTACAGAAATTACTCAAAATAAGTTACAGTGAATCATTGGATATGACTACAACAATTACAGAAGACAAGAGTATTGAATGTTAAAGATCAATCAGAAGAGTCATTCCAGATCTACTATTCCAAAATTGGACAGAAGTATCTTTACTTGATCAACAAAGTCCGAGCCTGTTGCATACTCTGTTAGCATCCCCACGGCGAAGCCAAACATAGCCCATCTGCTCAACAACAATTAAATGAATATGATGAATCAATTTAGTAATACCTGTCAGTTGAATAGAGGACCCATACAATTTCTAACCAGAATATAGAAGAAAAAAATATATTCACGACCTAATTAATATCTTGAATGAATGAAAAGATTTGCTGAGAAGATCATTGGCCTCCTCAAAAAATCTAATAAAAATTTCTCCACTATTTTGTGAAAGCATATCAATTCAATGTAACTGTTTTTCACACATATCCAAGAAGAAGGAACAAATAGAGAGCATCTAAACTGCCTTTTAGTCAAAACTTCCACTTATATAATGTACTGGTGCAACTCAAAGATTGGGTAGGTTGTGGAATCTAATGTGAGGTATAGAATTCTCAATCCAAGCCCAAGCCCAACCCAACCTCAGATTTGAATAGCCTAACCCAAGATCAACCAAACCTTATTTTTTCTGAATTCAAGTCGTGTTCGAAAAGGTTGGTTGGGTCTATGAAAAATATTATTACCTTTATATATATATATATAACTAAAACTGCTTGGAGAAAGAAATAATACATGGAACTTCACATAAAATTAAATAAAAAATGGAAAAAAACTTCTCCCCAAATTTTCCAATGAAAACAATATGCATTCTTCATAATAATGATTCCTTCACCATTCTATATGATCACCCGATTCCGCAAATGTAAACAGATGCTAACACCATGCACCCTTTGTTCAACCAATCTTGAATCCCAAAGCATAAGGGAAAACATTAACAAGTTTCCAACTAAGAATAATACATACACAAACAAAGACACTTCTGTTAACACAAAGGTTCTATTTGGTTAGACGGAAAATTTTATGAAAAGTGAAAGTGAAAGAGAGCGAAGTGAAAGAAAGTAAAATCAAGTTTCCATCATGCATTTGGTTAGTAGGAATTTTTTTGAAGAAAGTTGTGAGAGAATATTATTTTATTAGTTTGGATAGCATGAAAAGCAAAAGAAAATAATTCTAAAGGAAAAGAAAATAATTCTACTTACCAAAAATACTTTTATAATTTTAAATAGTAAAAAAATAAATTAACTTATGTTAGATAAATATTATATATACTTAATTATTTATTTTAGCAAGGAAATAGTGAAATATGGAATAGAATAGTACGTGATATTATAATACAATTTTTTGCATTCTCCTCTCTCTCTCTCTCTCTCTCTCTCTCTCTCTCTCTCTATATATATATATATATATATATATATATATATATTCACTTGTTCCTATGTAGACTTGAATTCTCGATCTTTTATTTTTAAGGCAAGAAAAATAAGCTTTTGGTAAAGTGGACGATCAGAATTCAAATATTTGTTTTCTCCTTATGTTAGTCTTATTTTTATTATTTACTATTTATTTGTAAATGATGTAACTGGATACTATATATCTTACTATATCTAATTGCAACTTTCTCACACGGCTGAGAAAATTAGAAGTCATGGACGGATTATGTAGACTATTTAAGAATCATCAATTATTTATTTCAAGATAATGTTTGATGTTAGGTATGAAATGAATTGTGATAAGATAATGTAGACTAGTTTTCATCTCACACTCTTGCTATCAACAAATAGTTATGTATATATATAATAACTCTTAAATCATTATCAATTATAGAAAAAAATGGGAATAAATCCTCAACAACACCCATTTTCTTTCCAAGGGAAAAGAATAAACAAAAGCTTTGCAAAAAAAGAGAGGAAGAAGAGAGATCACAATAAGATAGAGAAGAGAGATCATGCTCAGTGAAGCAAGCAGCCTCAAACTGAAAAGTATTATATAATATGATAAGGTACCAGTGGTGATATGGTGAGGTAGACCATGTGGTGGCGATGGCTGCAAAGTGTTCTCTAGTCTCTCTAAGACTCGATTAGAGTTATATTATGAGTAACAAATGAAGGACCAAAGAAAGGATTGGTTTATTTGTCTTTGTTGATCATGTAATATCAAATCAATGACCATGATTTGCTTAAGAATACTTGAATAACAAAAACTATTACGATTATTGTAGGTTAGGCTTGCCCAAGACCTTTTGACCCAATATTAACTTGAATTTAGGTCAGGTTGAACAAACTTAACCCAAACCCAAGACGAAAAACAAGAAAATCAGTCCAGCCCCACCCAAAGGTTAGGCTCAAGTTGGGTAGGGTTGAACCCGATCGAGTAACAGCCCTAACCCAAGTCACATGAAGCAGGAGTGAGAGAGAGAGCGGCAAAATGAAAAAATGAAAAAAAAAAAAATGCTCAAAGCAAAAGCACAGTCATAGCATCCGTACATTTGTGTAAACATTTGCACATATATAACACTTTCAATATTTATGCATGTGCTAGGAGCCATTGCTTAGTATAATAATAGAAACTTAACCTCAATTTCGGGAACATGGGTATGAGTTTCACAACAGCCACTCTACATAGGTGAGAAAGGCACTTTTTTATTTTTTAAAATGCTAGGGGATATATGATACGTGATAAAATTTTTGAAATATATAAAGATAATAATGCATTTTTATTGTTTAACCAATAGAAGTCAGAATCCATATATTTAAGACACCAATTTATTTGCAAAAATATACATAATAACTAGTGTAATTCTTTTTGATAAATACATAATAACTAGTATAATAAAATAAAATTGTGCAAATAACTCTTATAGTTGTGACACTTCTAGTAAATAACAGAAATAAAAATGATCAATAGAAAGTGAGTTTTAAGATGGCAAGATTTTTTTCTTTCTTTCTTTCTCTACCATACTTGAAACCTAGATCTATGGTTTGGGAAATAAGGGCCAAAGCCACCAAAGCTAAGGTAGGCTCTTTTAATGTTGTAAGTTCAATCTGGAGTGGATCACAAGAGGCAATAATTTGCTGGCCTTTTCTTAATGTTGTAGGTTCAGTTCTATGTGCTTTTTAGCTATATTTATTCGGTATTAAGTGCCTCTCCTTCGTTGTACTTCATAATAAATTCCACATGTTCACAAAAATGAATTCACAATTAAGGGTAGCATTTGCTCTGAGAATGTGAATTCCAGTTTGGAATGTGAGAGCGGCACCCTTTATAGAAGGATCACGTTCCTCTAAAAGTCTGACCTAATATAGTACTTAGAAGTTGATTTCACAAAAAATGACTTTGTGAGATGAACTTCAAACATTATAGAAGTGAAATAATTGAGGAAGGACACAACCCTTCTACTTCAGTAGGGAAATTTTGAGACTTATGGTTTTTATGGTGTTGGTTTAGAAAAAAAAAAAAAAAAAAAAACTCAAATCAACTAAGCCAAATAAGTTAGAAGCTTAATTGTGAGATAAATTCTTTCTATCAACTCCAACTTTATATATTTATAAGATAATTCTTGTGTGGAAACAGCGGTATGACTATCTAGACACAAAATCAAAGGATAAATGCAGATAAGGAACATATTTGCGGTCATGGAGGCACATCATATATTTAGAAAGAAATTCATATTGGTTTAGAATTTGATCTTGAGAGGTGGTATTTGGTGATCCAGCACTTAAGTCCATAATCCAAACAACTCCTAGATTGTATCTGCTAGTTTCTGGTGTGGAATTACAACTTTTTACTCTAGATATGAGATTTCATTTCACTATAACCCTAGGTCAATCCACACAAAAAATGCATTTACCATCTCCCTGAGGGAACAAATCCTCCAATGAATTCTCTAATGTTATTGATTGGTCCAAAAAAAAGGACATAATACCTGTTTGAATCTAGAGAAACAATCAGTAAGAAATTAAAAAGGGCAAGAAACTAACTGAATTGAGTAATAGAGAATTCAATGCTCTGGAGTTCAAGAAAACAAATTACAAAATACAACTATTTAGCTTAGTTTAGTGATTTCCATTCTCATCAATTTAATGGAACCCAATACAAGGACTCAATATGCAATTTTATTTCTCATAAACCAAACTGAGTGTACATAGTTTCATCAGAATTATAAGATAAACAATCAACATTATTTTCAAAAATAAAATATAAAAAATCCTGTTATATCCGTTTTTTTGAGAAGTAAATCCTGTTATTTCCTTTTGGAAGTAAATTTCATCCATTATAGGTGCTTTAAAGTGATTGCTAATTTAACACACAAGTTATTAATAGTCCTAACTAACCCTAAAACCAAATGGATTACAATTAAAAAATAAAACAGAAACAACCAACATTAATTTCGGGAAAAAAAGAAGAAGAAAAACCCAATTTTCAAACACAGAATCACTAAATAAAGAGAAGGGTAATCACACCTGCCATTGGAAATCTCATTCTTGCCAATGAATCCAAAGAAGGGGCCTTGATCAGCTTCTTCAAGCTTCTTCTGCTTAAAATACTCCTGAAGCTCCTTAGCTTTTTGCCTCTGAAACTCCAAGGTAATTACACTCTTGTCCTCCAACATCTTCGGTGGCGGCGGTGGTGGCGGCGAAGAGGAAGGTGGTGAAGGAGGAGACGGCGGGACTGGTTTCAGAGAAGGAGGAGAAGCGACTGGTCTTCTCAAAGGGCCTTCGGTCTGAGAGCTCCTTATGGTGACAATGGAGGGCTTAGATGCAGAGAATCTGAAGGTTGAAGATGATGGAGAAGAAGAAGAGGAACACGATGATGGGGATGATGGGTTTGAGATCTTGACACATGGGATCGATGGTGATGTCACTGACATACTCGTTGTCTCTCTACTTTCCCTCTCTAAGCTGCCTTTGGTGGACTGAGAAGATAGATGATGTGGGTGTGGGTGTGTGGACGTCTGTGTGTTATCGGTGCTTCATGTTGTGGGTTTGCGTGTGGATAAGATGTGGCCAAGTTTCAGTGGAAAGATTGGTCATTCTCTGCCGTGGACCGCCATGCCTATTCTCTCTCTCTAACCTGCCTTTCGAGTTACTTGGGCCTTGTTTGGCAGTATCTTCTACTTGGCTTGTTTTGTTTGAATCTAAAATATTTTCTAGAAAATACTTTTATCCAAACAAGTTGTTTCCAAAAGCTGCATATATATATATATAACCACCTCAATTATCAAGGTAGAAAATCACCTCCAGTGAAATAGTAGCCCATTTATTTCATTTTAGAATAAGTGAGGAGAATTGGCCACATCAATTAAAAATATTGAGTAACTAAATTTTCACAACCCTTGTATTTCATATATAATGTAACGATCCGGGTTTTGATTTAACCCGGTACTACAATGATGAACTAAAGATTGACTCATTACCGGATCCAGATGCGGAAACAAGAAACAAGACAATGATCTCCCAAGGCATAACACACCTCTAAAACCTTTTGATAACCTTCCATGAGGTCACGGAATCCGAAGGAATAAAGTGCGGAAGCAAAACAAAGACAAGAGTATAAAAACCCTACCGAAGGAAGGACAAAGGGTAAAATGGTCATTTTACCCTAAGAGGAAGGAATTTGACTTTCAACAAGTCAAATTAGATTAAAAACATCTAAAACCATCCTTTGGTAACTTCACATGAAGTCCCAAGGCCAAAGGAAGAGAAATCTCAAAAGAGCCCTATCCCGGTTCGAACCAAATCCGACACTCTCTCACTAAAACGATGATATCTTGAGTTAGGAAAAGAATTTAAAGTTGAAATTGGTACCATTGGAAAGATGACTTCAACGCGGTTAGTTTAGACTCAAGAACGGACCAATTCCGAGTTGAAACGAAAAAGTTACATCAGTTGAAGATCGAAGTCCAAAACTGAAAAACTCTGGAAGACTTGAACCGGTTCAACATATCTTGAACCGGTTCAACTTTGGCAGAACACCCAAAGCTGACCGAAAATGAGCCTTGAACCGGTTCAACAATTCTTGAACTGGTTCAACATGACTAGTGTTGAACAAATGCAGCAAAAATAGTAGAATAGTAGAAAATTGAGTTTGGAGCGCGGTATTTGAGGTCAAGATGACATTTTTCGGAAAAATGTCGTGAAGAAACTCCCCTTAAAATCACATTTTCTATGTGATGGAGTCAAGAACAGAATTTATTTCCCAAAGGAAATCCCCAAAATGCCCTTGGGCTGAGTTTTTTCAACAAAACGATGAATTGAGTCCATAGGAGGCTCAAAACACAAACGAAATGGTTTTTCATGGAAACGATCATTCACACAAACGTAAATGATGATTTTAAGCGTGCGGGAATGGTCCGCGGCTCTCAAAAATGGCTGAGTCAAAATCCGACCCCTCTACGGCCAAAAGGTGAAAATGAACTTGAAATGGGAATTTTGAAAACCAAAATTATCAAATGACTTTAAATGACGGTTTGGCACTTGGCCACACTTCATACATATGAAATTAGTCCTAGTGGATGTGCCGTAACACACGTCACGTCACCCGATTTGAAAATGAACCCTTAAAGGCTCAAATTCTACTATTTAGCCCCAAAAATGCAATATGTGAAACAAGAATACAAAAGAGGAAACAAAATGATGTTTGGCCCTTGGCCACACCTCATACATGGTAAATGAATGACAAATAATGAACTTCATACACAAGGCACACTCCGGTTCAAAAATGACATGTTGAAATCCTAATTTTTCATACTTTTCTCATTAAGGGCAAGATTCAACATTTATGTGCATATATGGATTTCAAGTGAAATTTGGCCATTGGCCACATATCATATGTAATGACCCTGCCATTTTACGTCCTTTCTTTTTTCGGAAATTATCTTTTTTCGTCTTTTCCTTATTTCGTCCTCTTCTCGTTTTTCACTTTTACTTGCATAACCTCATTTTTTATGCTCGGATTTGATTCTGGTTTTGCATACGTCCATGATATTTAAATTCCATGACTTTTACATTTTTACTTTTGAAGAAATGCATATTAAATGCTTACTTTCTTTGTAAAAGCTATGAAAACAAGACTTTTTGTAATTATCTATAACTTGAGGGGTTTTTGGGTAATTAAGTAAAGTAATTATTTTTCATCTTAGGGACCATTTTGCAAATTAATTTGGAAGATATTTTCAAAAAGGACCTTTTTGCAATTTTCAAAAAATGTGACAAGTGTCACTTCCTATGGTGCCACTTGTTGATTTTGTGGTGAAACCACTTGGAGGCTTAATCTCATGACACATGGAGGGTGGAGATTCACCCACTTGTTGTCCTAGGATTGGTGCACTTGTTGGCATGGATGGTTGACAAGTGTAGGGTTAATATTTAATCTTGGAAGCTTACTTGGATTCATGACAAGTGTAGGACTCACCTTTAGTCTTGCATTAGTGCGTGTGTGAGAGGTAGTGCAAGAACACCTAGTGAGTGGAGAAGCCTACCAAATTAGCTTAGGGTTTACACATTTTAATTCATTCATCACTTTCCTCTCAAGAACCCTAAGGAAGCCACCATTGGAGAAAAGCTTGACTTGTAGCTTTGACTTCATTTTTGGTGCCCTTTCACTCACCTTAGAACTTTGAACTTGGAATACTTTAGGTTCCTCCCACTCCCCTCTACAAAACCCTTGTTTGGTTTTTCATTTTTAAGCTTGGTTGCCTTGGATTCAAGAGGAACAATCCTCTTGTGAGGTAGGGGGTGTTATCATTTATCTTCTAAGTGATTTTATTTGTTCCTATAGTGATATCTAAGTTATATGTTTGTCTTGTATTAAAATGAGAAATAAATGATTAATTGTAACTTGAATGTAATTCACTTTAAACTTGATAAATAACATGACCATGGCTTGATTCATAACATATGTTAATTTGAGGTCATTAAGAGTCGTTTTAAAAATCTAGAGGGATTAATGAATTAATTTAATTAATTTTTATTTATATGCTCCTATGACTTAAATCAAGTTTTGAAGTGATTTATATAATAACCATGACATGCACTACAACACATATTAAATTAAGCATGTTTAGATGAGAAGTGAAATCTAGGGAATTTAGTTATTTTACTTAATTGTTCAAATTATGATTTTAAACTTATATCATACTTGTGAGGCTATGTTTTTGTTGTTGAATGATATTGTTGTAATTAATGGCAAATTGCATAATGATTATTCAATATTCTTCATGCCATTTTAGTTGAGAACTTAGGGCATGTATTGTGTTTCCAAAATTGATTTGTGCATGTTGATGGCTTTACATTGTATATATATATGTTATGTTGATACATATATGTAATGTACACAAAATGTTGATTTTGGAAACTTGGGGATGTCGTTGTTATGACTATGGCTAGGGCATGGTTCTAGTACGGGGGAAAGTCCCTCTACAAGTCTAGTGCGCACATAGGGAGGTTACCCATGGGCTAGTAACCTGAAAGTAATCACATTGTCGGTTTGATCCGGCGTGACGTCCAAGTATCCACTTTGGTTTGATTTCGCATTTAAATTCCATATTGTTAACTTTGTAAAATTACATCTCATTGAGTTATGTTGAAAGTTCTATTGTCACTTGATAGCATGAATTAAATGGTATTGGATTGCAACTTGGTACAAAGATAAACCCATGCATTCCCTACGAGTAAACTTGTTTACTCACCCTAAGTTAATGGGTGTTTTGTAGGTAAAGAAGCCTTAGTGTGGGACGCACAGCATTCTTAGACTTACTAGAGTTCTTGAAGTATTTTTGATGACATAGAATATGTATATGTTAGCATATCTTGTCCTACTTTGCTTACTTTGATAAAACTTCTACTTATTGTCTAAGTTACGTAATGTGCACTTAAGTGCACCTTTTGACACTCTTAGAATATGTATGTAATGAGGCCAATGGCCAAGGACACATATATGCCATGTATACTACTTTATCTTTATAGTTTGTATGTGGAACTTAAGGGATTTCATCCATTGAAGGGTCATATTTTGCATATGACGTCCTATGAGGCCGTAGGCCATTGTAGCACGTCTATTTCATCATAATACATTTGCGTGCATGCTCACTTGGGCAAAATTTACACTATTTCATGAAATGAACTTTCTTTGGACACTTTTTGACATTTTAAATTGCAAATCTGATGTGAGGGCATTTTAGGGATTTTACCTTGACAAATTAATTACGTTCTTCACATGGTCACTTAGAAAATGTGATTTTAGGTTGGGGTTTCTTCTTCGTGTTTTTCTAGAAAATGCCATCTTGGCATCGGAAATCGCATCCAAAGTTCAGCTCTCAGTTTTTTAATTTAGCAGTTTTTTGGACCCTCTGGACCAGTTTTCTTGGGAGGGCATTTTAGGCATTTCACATTACGTATTTTTTTATTTTTCCTGCTAGTCACATAGAAAACTCGATTTTGAGGTGGGTTTCTTCTTTGAGTTTTTTCAGAAAATGTCATCTTAACCCTCAAATTTCCATTTTTCCCGGAAAAACCCCTGCTTCCAAGGTTTCTTACTACCCATTCTGCTGCCTTCACATCTAAACGGTTACGAAGGGTTTCATAACCGGTTAGATGAGTGTGGGTAGTGTATTTCTCATGAATTTTGGCCTCCTAACCAGTTAGGAAGGTTTCCTAACCTGTTAGATGTTCATGAGTTGCCTCTTTTGGACCGTTTTGCCCCTTCTTCTTCCGTTAGCTATATCTTCTTCATCCGGACTCCGAATCAAGTGATTCTTGAGTCTAAATTCATTAATTTTCATTGTCTTTACAATGGTGTGCTTGGTGGCACCCACTTTTAAGCTGGAAATGACAATTTTGCCCCTAGGTTCATTCTTGTTCGTTTTTGAAACGTTGCTTCCGCATTTGATTCCTTTGGGTTCCGTGACCTCATTGAGGGTCATAGAATTTTAGGAGCTAAGGAAGAATTGGATAGCGAACAAACTATCATAATCTCTCACGTGCATAAGACTTTCACCCATTCTTTTGGAATTCATGCAATCACTCTAAACCAATATCATAATATGATAATATATAATGGTGTCTTAGAGCCATGT